GATGGAGCCGCGCGCCTGTGCGGTGCGCTGCCCCCGCAGGGTCCGTCGGGCGATGGAGCCGTGTGCCTGTGCGGTGCGCTGCCCCCGTAGGGTCCGTCGGATGATGGAGCCGTGTGCCTGTGGGGCGCGTTCCCCCCGCAGGACCTGTCGGGCGATGGAGCCGTGCGCCTGTGCGGTGTGCTCCCCCCGTAGGGCCCGTCGGATGATGGAGCCATGCGCCTGTGCGGTGTGCTCCCCCCCGTAGGGCCCGTCGGATGATGGAACCGCACGCCTGTGTTGTGTGCTTCTCCCCATAGGGTCCGTTGGGTGATGGAGCTGTGCGCCTGTGTGGAGCGAGAGCTGGACAAAGTGCTGCACAAGTTCCTGAGCTACGGGCAGCACTGTGAGCAGAGCCTAGAGGAGCTGCTCTGTTACGTGAGCCAACTGCGCCAGGAGCTCGGCAGCGCAGGTACCACAGCTCGCCAGCATGATGTAGTGACACAGCACAGTGCTGCTTCTGGAGCCGGTCCTGTTCCCAAACCGCAGCTTGGTACTTAGGAGCAGAGCGCCGTGTCCGGGCGGGGTGGTCACTGATGGTAGATCTATGGATGGAGACTGACCTCCACTGAGCAGACAGCCCTGTGGCTCAGCCCTCGTTCTGACTAGGGAGGCTGTAGGCCAGTGTGGGGACACGCCTGCTCTTGGGGGGCGGAATCCTAGCAGAGCTTTCTGTCCGGGCGCGCGCTGTGAGGTGTCTGCCTGCAAAGGGTGCTATTGAGTATCTGAGGCTGTTGCTCTAGACCAGACGTGGGCAAATTACGGCCCATGGGACCGTCCTGCCCGGCCCCTGAGATCCCGGCCGGGGAGCCTGTCCCCCCTCCCCCGCAGCCACGCCACAGTGCGGGCCGCGCTCTGGCCCGCTGCTCCCACTGGGCAGCGTGGGGAGCGCAGCTGGCTCTGGCCGGGTGTCGTGGCTGTGAGCTCCTGCTGCTGGTAAGGGGGTGGGGAGCAGGGGGGTTGGGTAAGGGAGCGGGGAGTCCTGGGGGGCAGTCAGGGAGCAGGGGGTGATTGGATGGGGCAGAGATTCGGGGGAGGCAGTCAGGGGATGGGGAACAGGGAGGGTTGGGAGTGGGAGTCCCGGGGGGGCTGTCAGGGGGCGGGGGTGTGGACAGGGGTCGGGGCAGTCAGGGGACAGGGAGCAGGGGGGTTGGTTAAGGGGCGGGGGTCCCGGGAGGGGGTGGTCAGGGGACAAGGAGAAGGGGGGGTTGGACGGGTTGGGGGCTCTGAGGGGGGCAGTCAGGAGGCGGGGGCCAGGCTGTTTGGGGAGGCACATCCTTCCCTACCCGGCCCTCAATACAGTTGCACAACCCCGATGTGGCCCTCGGGCCAAAAAGTTTGCTCACCCCTACTCTAGACCAGCACTGGTCAAAGCCCTCGGCTGCACCAACCATTTCCAGCTGCTCCCATTCAGTTCTGCATTATCTGGCCCCTGGGCGCTCAGGCTGCTCCGGATCCCAGCCCTGCAGCGGGGAGCAGTTCCCAAACTCGGGTGGATTAGAGGTGGTTTAGTTAAACGGAAGTCACACCGCAGTCTAGCACAGGGCTCGTTGTTCTGGCGGGGGAGGGGGAGTTCTGGTGCATGGTGCAGAGTTTGGCAGATGTAGCTCAGAGCTACTGCTTTTCTGGTGCAAAGCCTTAGCAGTAAGGGCCTTGCACTTCCTGGAATAGGCTCCTGGCTAGTCCGCGCAGCCAGGTCTGAAGAGCCTTTCTGCTGCAGCCCTGCAGGGGGCACCGCTCTCTGCCACGCTCTCCCTGGTGATGGCCCAGTGCTGTCGGAAGATCAAAGACACGGTGCAGAAACTGGCCTCGGACCATAAAGATATTCACAGCAGTGTCTCCAGGGTGGGCAAAGCCATCGATAGGGTGAGTACTCCCTTTCGTCTAGAGTCCAGGGGCTGGACCTGGGCACCAGATGGGAATCCCTGCCTTAGTGATGGCTTTCGCTCCCATTGGTTCTTTGGCCCTCGGCAGGCTGGAGCATGGGAAGAAGATTTCCCCCAAGGTCTCCCTCATCTGCTGGTGCCCAGTGGCATCATGGTGGGAGCCAGTTTTCATGGTGTTGGGCTTTCTATGGTCCTGAGCATCTCCTGCTCCTGTGCGTTCATGCCCGTTATATGTGCTGCAGTCAGGATCGGGGCCCTCCCGTGCTGACGTGTTCTTGGCCCTAAGGAACTCACATTCCACCTCTGTGACGGGCTCCCCGGGGTACAGCTGGAACTGGGGTACTGCTGTGCCCCCTTAACTCTCCAAACTCTCACAATGCTTTGCTAGTGAAAAGAAGCAAACCCCTCCAGGCGCTGTTATCACTCAGTACAACAGCATGTGGAGCCCACCCCCAGCTAAATGCTCCCAGAGACACTCATGAATCACATGGAGAAAAGCACCAGCAAATCTTCTAAGACCCCAGTCTTGCACCCCAGAGCTGTTCCGTCTTGCCCTGGTCAGAAGCCTGACCAGTGTACGTTTATTACCCAGTCTGCCCTCCCTCGATGTGGAGAGGACAGACACTAGCCTTTGTAAACTGAGCTGAGATTTACCAAGCACTTCAATTGAAACACACTGTTTTAGGTAAAATATAAAACAGATTTATTAACTACAGAGAGATTTTAAGTGATTAGAAGTGGTAGCCACAAAAGGTCAGAGATAGTTACCAAAGGAAATAAAAGATAAGTGTGCAGTCTAAATCTTAAACCTTATTACATTAGGCAGTATTGGGATGAAGCAGTTTTTCTCATCCCACTGGATGTTGCAAATAGGTTATAGTCCTTAACACACAGGCTTCCCCTTTAAGCCTGGGACCAGTCTCCTCAGTTCAAGTCTTTGTCTTCCCAGTGTTCTTGTTGCTTCCAGCGTAGGTGGGGGAGGCGAAAGGCCAAGGCATGATGCCGCTGTCCCCTATTTTATATCCTCAGTCCCTGTGCCTGGAAAACCAGGTGGGCTTTGCTGAGTCATGGAGTTGAGCAATCCCCCATTGTGTGATTCTTGTGCAGCTCTCTTACTGTACTTGTATTGTAAATCCCTTGTTTACAACTCCCCTGCTGTTTAGTGGTCACTTAACACCTTCCTGGGTGGGGATCACCTCCTCTGTTGTCACTAGAGAACTAGTAACAACCATACAGCAAAATCTCACAACTTCATACACACAAATGGCATACATATTTGGACAGAACAATGGGTTTCTGCAGATCATGACCTTTCATATGATTCCTTACATGGCATGCTTTGTATGAAATAGATCATAATTATATGATGGGGTGAATATGGGGGGTCCAGGGTGCTGCTTTGAGGCACAGAGCGTCATGACCTCCTACTACTGTGCCGCCACCCACCCAGAAATGCGCTGTTGTGGCTCTGAGGCTGTGATCCAGCCAGCCAATTGAATGCAGCTCCATGCAGGGGCCGCAGTGGTTTGGGTGGGAGGGTGCTGTTGTGGGGTGGCTTTGCAGGCAGCTGCAGGGGGTTTGTTTGTGAGCATGTGATCAGGCCGGGAGGTGACAGATGGGGGGCTGTCCCCTCATTCTCAGGGGCACCACTGACTCCTCTCATTCATCTCCCAGAACTTCGATGCCGAGCTCTGCAGCGTGGTCTCGGATTCCGTCTGGGAGTCGCGGGAGAAGCAGCAGCAGATTCTGCAGATGGCGATTGTGGAGCACTTGTACCAGCAGGGCATGCTGAGTGTGGCGGAGGAGCTGTCCCAGGTACCAGGGCTGCCGGTCATGAGACTGGTGCTAGCTTGCCACACAGCAGCATTGTGTGAGGGAGGGTTGTGGCCTCCCTGGGGCAGGGGGAACCAGGAGTGCTGTGACCTGCTGTCTGGTGAGTGGGCCTTACTCAGCATTAGCCACTGGCAAGGTTCGCTCCAGGCCAGCACCTCTAGCTGACCCAGGCCAGTTGGTATGAGGCCCTGCCCAGCTCTGCAGGGACCGAATTGCAGCTGCCAAGTCTGCTGCTCTCCTGCATGTGCTCTGTGCTCCAAGGTGGAGGGCCTCTCTCCATCACGCAGGGTAGGAAACCTCACCCATCTCTGGCTGGGGAGCCTCTCCTGGCACCACCCCTCCGCCCCGGTGCATGCCGCCCTCCCCAAGAGGATGGTGGGATGTGACCACTGGCTCTCATTCTCCACAGGAGTCCACCCTGAATGTGGACTTGGACTTCAAGCAGCCGTTCTTGGAGCTGAACCGGATCCTGGAAGCGCTGCACGAGCAGGACCTGCGTCCTGCTCTGGAGTAAGAACCAATCATCTGGGAGTGCCGAGCATCCAGTGCCCCTCCTCGCCCACAGCCTCCCCACCCTTACTGAAAGTAGCCCCTCCCCTTCTGCTAGACTCATGCACCGAGTCTGGGTTGGGGTATGGGGTGCTTTGGCTGGTCAAGGGAGAGCCCGGTGCACCCCAGCTAACGTGTGATGATCTCACTCACCCTGCCTGCTGGAGCATGCACCTTGCACCCCTGTTGGAATGAGGCCTACAAGCACAATGCTCCTTAACGCCCCCTGACCAGCCCTCCTGGGGCAGCGCCATCTGCAGGGCCTGGCACACCCTCCTGCCCATGAGCCACTTATGTTCCTTTTCACCCCAACTGACTCTGGTGCTACCTGGGCAGTCCCTGGAATTATAGACACTGGAGGGAAAGGAGCCCTCTAGGCCAGCCCGGCCAGGGGCATTTCACACAAAACAGTCTCCAGGAACGGGAATAACCCCATCCTCGTCTTGTCAGGTTGGGCATCAGTGAGAGCTTCCTGGCTGTCCTGGCCCACCTCCCCAGGACAGCCAGGACTTAGCTGCCCCCTGTTCTTTCCTATCCAGCTGGGCAATCTCAAACAGGCAGCGTCTGCTGGAGCTGAACAGCTCCCTGGAATTCAAGCTGTATCGTCTCCACTTCATCCGGCTCCTGGCTGGTGGCCCTGACAAGCAGCTGGAGGCCCTGAGCTACGCTCGCCACTTCCAGCCCTTTGCCCGCCTGCACCAGCGAGGTGAGACTGTGCCAGGTGGGGCCCTGCCACTGGCCTCCCTAGTGGGGCACGGGACTGCCCGGCTGGGTAGCCCCGTTCCCAGGCTACAGGGGCCCCATCACTAGCCCCGTACTGGAGGCATTGGCTGGTTGGCAGGACAGGGTGGGGGCTGGGGCCATACTGCTTCTTGAGGCCAACCAGGTGTTGTGTTGTTCAGAGATCCAGGTCATGATGGGCAGCCTGGTGTACCTGCCCCTGGGCATTGAGAACTCCCCGTACTGCCACCTGCTGGATGCCCGGCACTGGACAGAGATCTGCGAGACCTTCACCCGCGACGCCTGTGCCCTGCTGGGGCTCTCGGTGGAATCCCCTCTCAGTGTCAGGTAAGCCCCAGGCCAGGGCCGGCAGGGTCCCCCCTTAGCAGCACCACCAAGTGCTAAGGCCTCTCCCTCTCACGCAGCTTCGCGTCTGGATGTGTGGCGCTGCCCGTGCTGATGAACATCAAGGCGGTGATTGAGCAGAGACAGTGCACGGGTGTCTGGAGCCACAAGGATGAGCTGCCTGTAAGTGCCATCTCGATGGGGGGCGGGGGGCGGGGCGAGGCAGTGGGGCTGACCTCCCTGCGCTCTCTTGGCAGATTGAAATTGAGCTGGGCATGAAGTGCTGGTACCACTCAGTGTTCGCCTGCCCCATCCTTCGCCAGCAGACGACTGACTCCAATCCGCCTATCAAACTCATCTGCGGGCACGTCATCTCCCGGGACGCGCTCAACAAGCTCATCAATGGGGGGAAGTAAGTTTGGTTTCTTGACATGCTCAGGCCGTGGACCCTGCCCCACCTCCGCCCTGCAGCCCCTGTCCTGCAGGCTTGGCCCTCGCCTGGCATCACTTTGTGTGACGCAGCCCGGTGCCATGGGAGTGTGAGTGCTCTGAAGATCCCTTGGCCTGTGCCCTGTACCGCCAGGGTTCCTGGCTGGCCTTGTGCTAGTCTGGGCCAGATCGCCTTCCCGAGCTCCCCTGCAGCTGGGTGCTGCGGGTAGCAGTGAGCCTGAACGGGCTGGGTGCCGTGCATGCTGATGAGCAGGGCTTGTTATCTCTGGGGCTGGGAAGTAGGGTGCACAAGCAGTGCTGCTGCCTGCCTACGGCCAGCCCCAGGCCTTCCTTAGACTGAGCCTTGAGGGCTGGACTGTGCCGGGAGGGGCAGACTTCTGCTGCTGTCGGTCCCCTGCAGTGCCCCAGAGCTCTGCCGTTTTCTCTGTGTTCCCTGGCCTTCCTGCCTGATGCCTTTGTCTCTGGACCTCTCCTCAGGCTGAAGTGTCCCTACTGCCCCATGGAGCAGAACCCAGCTGATGGGAAGCGCATCATCTTCTGACGCTGGTGGGGTTGGAAGGACTGTGGCAATAGGTCACTGCTCTTCCCCTTAGATGGCCTGTCCCACCCTCGCAGTGCGAGAGGCGGTGGTGCTGCCCACGGCAGGGCATGGGCTGCCTGTTAGGCTGAGGGTCTGAGAGCAGCTCCGTCCACTGCAGCCCCATTGGGGTCCCTTCCTTCTGCTGAACCTAGTGCAAGGTCCAGAGCAGTGGGACCTGAGCCTGACCACCCTCTGAGACTGGACAGAGCAGCAGTGTGATGTGCTTGCTGCTGCCTGTGTGTGCTCTCCTAGTGATCTGGCTTATGCTGCCCTGCTCACTCTGCCTGTCCGGAGTGCCGGGCAGCTGTCTGCTCAGTCATAGGCAGACCCCTCCTGGCCGCGAGCGTGGCTACTGGAGCGTTCCGAGCCCTCTGCCGGGCAGTGGCCGTGCTGTACAGTCCCTTGTGCATTTACTGATATTTTTGGCATTGTAAATATTAAAGCGGGAGCTGCCTGGAGCCATTTTATAAATTCCAGAAAATAAAGCCTGTTAGCCTTTCCTCCTTGCTCTCGGAGCTCCTTGGGCAGCAGGGAAGGGCCTCCTGGCTCAGGAGGCAGTGTCAGATTTAACCTGGGAGACAGGAGGGCTGGGTCCTTAACAGCTTGGGGCCAAAGATGACATGAACCCCACTGTAAGAGAGGGCACGCTTTCTGGTGTGGGGGCTGCGGCTATGTCCCTCTCTGGGTCCTGCCGGCCCTGCATCAGTCTACAAAATAGGGCACAGAAATGAGGGGGAAGAGCTGCTGTTAGATCTGAAAAATGGAGGGGTGAGGTGGGGTGCATATGGGGGGTGGGGTAAGGAGACAGAATGGGAGGAGGCACATGTGGGCTCCAGGACACTAAGCCTGGGTGGGGTAGCAGCTTTATGACAAACAGACCAGTGTCAAGATAAACCCTTTATTCTAAACAGAACCAGGTAACAAATGTCCTACTGTGACTGGCCTGTCCTAGGCTCCTTTGGTTCTTCCCCAGCCCGAGGGATCACAGAGAAACCCAAGACTGGATAGTGGCTAGCTGTCCTGGAGAACTATAGCACGTGGTCCATCTTTTAGATCCCGTTACTGAACAAAAACAGTTCTCTTTCAACTAGAACCAATACAGTAACTGATGTAACCACCTTCAAGTTGCTTTAACACAACTTAACACGGCTCAATCCGTCCCTGAGGGCATTTCAGCAATCTTCCCCATCTGCAACCCAGGTCTGTAAGACTGGTCCACCTCATGGTCAGTTTGTGACTTGTTTCCATCTTGTGTCTGCTCTCACTTCACTTGTCGTGGCCACGTTGTCGGGTATCGTGGCAGATGCTTACAATTCCGGGGTAAGATTTTGCCTTTGTCTGTGCTCCTCTTTGGTCGCTGGTGCTTTGACTGGCCAGTGCCCATCTTGCCAATCTCTCACCAATCTTCTCTTTCCCAGACTCCTTAGTTGTCCTTTGTCCCATAGCTGCTGAGTATTCCGAAGAATCAGAGAAATGTGGGGATGGAAGGGACTTTGAGGCCATCAAGTCCAGCCCCCTGCACTGAGACAGGACCATGCCTGGCAGGTGATGGTCCAACCTGCTTTTAAAACCCTCGAAGGCTGTGGAATTCCAGCATCCTCTGGAAGCCTAGTTAGGAAGTTTGTCCTAATATCTAACCTAAATCTCCCTTGCTGCAGATTAAGCCATTTCTTGTGATCCTACCTTCAGTGGACATGGAGAACAATTGATCCCTGTCCTGTTTGTAACAGCCCTTCACAGAGTGTGATTGGGTCCCCCTCAGGCTTCGGTATCCTTGGTGATGCTTTTCAAGCCTCTTTATGTGTATTGCAATCAGTGGTTTGTGGTCAGTTTCTACTTTGAAGCTACAACACTAGAGAAAGTAGTGAAATCATGTACATCCATACACCAGACCTAGTGGCTCTCTATAGGTATACAGCCTTTCTGCGGTGGTCACAGCCCTGGAGGCATAAAAGACTGGCAACCAGTCAGTCCCCTGCCACACCCAGCCCTCCTTTAGAAGCATCGCTGCAGCTGGGGCAAAATATCGCAGCACTGAAGCCTGAAGTCCGAATGGGCTTTAAATCATTGACCAAGTGCCTGAATCCCGGCCATTTCTTATAGTCATGCTGGTTTCCAAATCTCTGACATTTTTTGCTTCCATTTTTCTGTCCCTGCCCAATTTTAATTTCTGACCTTTGGCCTTGTTGATTTCACTCTGGTATTCAGTCACGTGCTCCGTGCCTTTCTTTAGGGTGCTTTTGTGTATGTTCTGCTGCTTGGGATGTCAGAGCCATCACGCTTAGTAATCCTTCACAGACTCGCTTTCTGTTACAAGTGGGACACTCTGGTCTTTGAGTGTTTACAGTCCTGTGACAAATTCCTGTTTTCCCTTGGCTGTGTTCTTAGCCTGAACAGCTCGTTCCAAGTAACACGTTTTCTAGGGACACACTGAGCCTCAAACATTTTCATTATTTCTGCACCCCTTTCCTGCTTGCTCACCACCTGCATGGGCTGCAGCGTGCGCAGTTGGGGCTTCTGGGCCTGCCGCTGCTCATCGCAATCGTTTGCTTCGCTGCCAGTGGCTTTCCTGCGTCCAGGCGCTGCATGTCCATGGATGCTTAGCGCTGCTGTGGCATTGCTGGCAGTTGCCCTGGGGCTGTAGCTGCCATTGTAACACCACCTCTCCCAGCTCACAGGGGCTGCCCTGCTCGTGAGCAGACGGTATCAAGGTAAAGGGCTGTGCCACTGTGGTGCCATAACACAGGCACTTCCTACAGCAATGGCAGGGGTTTTCTGTTGCCTAATTTACCTCCCTGAGCAGCAGGAATTAGGTTAATGGAACAATTCTTCTGTTAACCCTTGGTCTAGATGCAGCTAGGTCAAGTTCGCCTGAGCTATGTACAGAAATGTTCTAGTGCCCTGTGTAGCTGCAGCCTGAGTGTGCCCTCGCTTGGGCTCCTTTGATTCTGCTCCAGAGGCAGTCTCCAAGGCTGCAGAGTGTACAGAAGTGGGGCATGATGGCTACCCCTGGAGCTCAGGGTGCTGGGGCTGTTCTGGGGGCAAGGCTGGCCTGGCCAGCAGGGACTGGGCTGTGAGCCTGGTGTGGACTCTGCAGTAGCTCTGCAGCCCTGTCTCCCGTCACCCATATCTGGCAGTGACGGCTGGAGTCCAGTAGTGATGGGCTCCAGCCTGTACATCCAGGATAGCTGCTAGTACCTGCTGCTAAGAGCAGAGCAAGTGGTTGCTCATCCTTGTTTGTTTGCCCCGTGGCTTTCAGCTCCGGATCAGAGCGCTGTCTGAAGCGCTTCCAGGCACATGGAGCAGCTCCCTGCTGCTCCAGGGTACGAGGTGCCCGCTAGCTGGTCAGTACCTCACCCCTGGGCTCAGCAGCCCTCAGGGAGGGAATCTGTTGCCCTTTGGGCCCAGCTGAATGAGAGGCTGGGGTGGGTCATAACTCGTCATTCCAGGCTGCCCCCAGCCAGCACAGCAGTGGGGCACAGCGGAGTGGTGGAAGGAAAGGGTGGAGGGTTTTTTGCACCAACTAGGATAGAATCAACGCACGTGACAATGCTGCACAATCACCTCATGCGTGGCTGACTGCAGCTCTGAGACCCCAGCCTCACTGCCTGTCAGACATCCCACATGCTGGAGTCATCTCCCCACCAGGGGGAAGGGGGGAGAAGAAATGCATACTAGTCCTCAATACCTCTCCACCCCCCGCTCAGCAGGCTGGGCATAACCAAGGGTTGTGGGGACTGGTCACAAGCAGCTGCCCCCCAAGGGCTGGAGAGAGGAGTCCAAATTCCTCTCACCCCACTGATATTTTTGATGCAGAGAGAGGCCATCAGTCAGCCATGCGCCATGGCTGGGGAGTGCATGTTGCAGTAGGTAGGCGTGGGTCGTGCCTTATGTTCATTTAGCCAAATTCACTGTAGTCTTTTGTTCATTTAGCCCAGGCTCCACTTTGCCTCCTAACACGGGGTCCAAGCCCCAGACACAATGGTTCCCACCTAGCCATGGCTGGGCTTGACTGAAAGGGACACCAACCCTCTCTAGCCCCTTCTGCACCCAGCGCAATGGCCTCTATTTAGTCCAGGGCAAATGCTGGTGGGCCAGAAAGAAAGCCCTTTCTGTGCTGTCAATGTCATTTCTACACAGTCATCCTTGTTCCTCCCCCACTTTCCATCATCCAGCCTTCAGGCCCAGCCCTGCTGGTGATGGCACATCAGCCGCCTGCTCAGAACGTAGCCTTAAAGCCAGGGTGCCTCCAACAGCGACTTTACTAACAACCCCACCAAACAGCTGTACAAATAGGTTTATTTCATCCACCACAGAACAGGTCTGACTCGCTGCTCAAGGCTTGGGCTCGTCCCCCACAGGATTGCTAGCCTGTCCAGGAAGCCTGCTCTCCCCCGCCCTTCAAGGGGGAGGTTCATCACCATCTGCCCCCACCCTCAGCAGCTGCTACTCAGTTCTTTCAGAACAATTTTTTTGGGTTAAATGTAAAAAGCCCAGGGTCTGTGCAGCCCCCTCTCCCCCACACTGAGCCCCCAGCAAGTCGCTGCAGGACCAGCGCACGTTTCATTTTGTAAAGTCCTCGGAGGCCAGCGAACGTTGCTGGGGCAGTGCAGGCCCAGCCAGCCAGAAGCTCCAGAGCAGGAACTTCACAGGGGGACAGGAAGGGACACAACCTCCTCCCAACACTCCTCATATGCCTCCTGGTACTCCTCATGTGGCTTGATCATTATCACACAGGTTGGGCGCTTTGAGCCTCCAGCTGCTCCCAGATCCTGAACAAGAGGAAGAGGATATCAGGCATGTCCAGGAAAGCTGCTGGTGACCTCCATCAGCAGACAGCCCCACCCACTGGGGGGAGTGGGACCCCTACCACTCCTCTGGAGGAGAGCAGACCCCCTGCACTCCACCCCACGGGGAGAATATGACTCCCCTGACCCTACAATCACCCCCACCCCCAAGTGACTGAACCACGTTGTAAAGCAACCTTCCCACAGCTGAGCAGTCTCTCCCCCTCCCACCCCGCAAGGTTAGAGCAAGGGTTCCCAAACTTTTTGTGAGACAACCCCATTTGAATTATTTCCTCCTGGGCCCCCCAGAGGGTACCGAGTACATCATTCTGAAGAGCAAAATGTCCTCCTCCACACAGCGTGACTGCGTAGCTGTGCGGTGTGTGAGGTCATGCTGTGTCGAGGAAGCCATTTCATAGAACAAAATGGCATCATCAATGCACTGTGACCGTGCACACACCACAGAGGCGAGGTCACGCTGTGCAGAGCAAGACAGCACCCATTGCATAGGAGGGATTGCCAGGGTACGACCCCATTTGGGGGTCTGCTGTGTTAGAGGGACTTCTCTTCCCCAACTCCTCTCCCAGCCTGTCCTTGCTGATCCAGGAATGTCTGGCCTCACGGGGCCCAGCTGTACTCTGCAAGGATGGCACGAAGTCAGCAGGGCCAATGTCTTGCCGGGTCGACGGCAGGTTAAAGCCCTAAGGATGCCA